CACACACACACACACACACACACACACACACACACACACGGAGTCAACTTGGCCATAACCCTGCAAGAAACATGCTAGATGCGGAAATTAAGTAGACATACATGATATGTTAGTGGCCAGTATTTTACTTGTTGTTAACTGGGAGAATTGAATTATTATTATTGATACAGAAAGTTGAATTCCAGCAATTTTAGCAGCGAATGTTACGGTATTTTCATTTAAGGGCATGTGCAGTAAGACTTAACCCGTCTCATGAATTAGTATGTGTGCGCAAGTAAGCATGACCCAGAAACACGTGACTACACTTTATTTTGATGGTGCAGGTTTGACACTCTACTAACTATAATATAAAAATATAACTATATAGGTAACAACATGTCTAACTAACTCTCATTAGAGTATTAGTAGGCTGTTAGGTTAGGGTTAGGGTTAGTAAAAGAAGTTGACATGCAGTTGCAAAGTTACTTATAGTCAACAAAATGTCTATTGGTGGAGCGTCAAAATAAAGTGTTATTAAGCAGACAGTTTACTAATACTCTAACTTTGCAACTACATGTCAACTAACTCTCATTACTTATAGTTAGTAGAACGTCTAAAGTGGACTAACGACATAAATGTTACCACATATGTTGTTTTTAGCCAAGTTAGCGTGTCATGTTGCTCTGTGAAGGTTTAATTCAAGATCCACACGTCATTTGACTTTGAGTTTGGACGTATTTTAATTGAGATCATCTGCTATAAGTAATAATAGACCATTTTACTTATTTTGTTTGTTTTAAGAAGCAATAAGTAAAAACGTGACAAAAAGCAGCCTCTGTTAAATGCTTTCTCACATACAAATGCTCACTAGAGTTTTTGAGTGAAATAAATATTCTTTTATTGTAATAGTCAAGACTTTGCGTCATATAGACGGCACATCTATTCAGTCTGTATGATGTTTTTACAGATTTCAATGATGATGAGTATTACTAACATATTTCATAAATTGAAAGGGGTATAATGCAAAAACACTGTTTTTTTGGATATTATCTGCCCAGAATTTCAGTGCATCCGGTAATTTAAAGAGATAGTACACCCAAAAAATGCATTTACTCACCCTCGTATCCTTCCAAGCTTTTGTTCTTTTTTTGGAACACAAATGAAGACATTTTTATGTTCTGTTATAGTTTTTGTCAGTCTATTGGCAATCTTTGCAACCAAAACTTAAATGCATTAAAAAGTACATAAAGACATCGCAAAAGTAATCCTTGTGAATTGAGCGGTTTAATGCAAGACTTTTGTTCGCATACATTGATCAACATATATGCGTAAAGCTCATCAAATATGGTAAACAGAAGCTCATCTGTATTTGCCCGATTTGTGGGAACAAACCTCATTGGTTCTCACACATCAAACAAGCACGCTTGAGCTTCTGTTTACCATATTTGATGTGCTCTATGTGAGTGTATTGATCAGTGTTTATGTAAGGGATAATGTACACACATTATCCCACTTATTGCACAGCTACTTGCCACATAAGTAAATAATTAGACACAAAATATTGATTTGAGTTGAAATATTTGAACGCAAAGCTTCCGTGAAGACAGCAGTTGTGAGCAAGCGGCAAGTTCAAACTAGATGGACATTTAAGGGATACGGTGCAGTTAGACAACATTTCACATAAATAATTATGGCGATTAAAGATATTGATTTACGACAGCAGCTGCGTTTGAATGAAACGAGAGAGCGAGACCGCAATACCAGGATGACATAATTAAATAATTGCACACATAATATTGAATCGAGTTTTAATATATTATTAGCTAACCAAACGCGAAGCTTCCACAAAGAAAAACTGTTCCTAGCAAGAGTATAGCGCCGACTTCAGTTACCCGGATGAGCCTGTGTTATCAGTTTTTACCGGTTGTTATCGAGGGATAACAGACCTCAGAATGTCACAACTGACCAATCAGAATCAAGTATTCCACAGAGACGTGTAATAAATATGAATAAAAGCCTAAATGAAATCTTTTCATCATGTTTCATCAAAACACTTGGTTTAAACCACTGTATTCATATTAAAGCAATAAGCCCCAAGAAGCCGTGGTTTACAGTGAATTTATAACAGCTAAGGGGTGTTGTTAGGTATGACGCGAAGCGGAAACCCCTTTAGCTGTTATAAATTCACTGTAAACCACGGCTTCACGGGGCTTATTGCTTTTATAAAACGGTTATTCCATATACGTAGTACGATTTCACAAAATAAAACAGAGCAAATAAAGTATAATGATAATAAAAACAGTATTCTTCCACCAAACAATGTAGTTCCTCAGAAACAGTGTGTATGTTTTTAGAGTAATTTACAACAGCTTCGAACGCGGCTCAGCCAATCAGAATCAAGGACCGGAACTCTCCGTTTTATAATGATTAATTTGCGATGTCTTTATGAACTTTATGAAGCATCGAAGTTGTGGTTGAATAGACTTTCAGTGGAGGAACAAACATCTCTCAGGTTTTAATTTGTGTTTCGAAGCTGAATGATAGTCTTTATGAGTTTGGAACGACTTGAGGGTGAGTAAATGATGATAGAATTTTCATTTTTTGGGTGAACTATCCTTTTAAGTAAACAGTGTGAAAATTGGGCAAAACAACCTCAAAATAGTGACCTAGGATCAGTCTTGATGTGCATGCGCATGCGGCTGAAGTACATGCCGCTGTAGAGTGCCCCGTTTGTAATTTTAGGTTTAAATACAGTGCTCATGACATCTGTGGCCACTATGTTCCCTCAAAGCATACTTATGCCAAGCCCACATTGACACCTGCTCTAAAATAAACCACTGGCCGACAGCTCCCTTCTGGGACAGATCCGAGGTCAGAGAGCACTGATCCCAGCGCAGTCATATGGGCAGCACCCTGGCTGAAAATTTGGAGAAAATGTTGAAAACTTCACTCTGACAATCAAGCTCAGAGCAGGTCCATGTGGAATGATTGGAACAATATGTGCCATGAAGGATAAAAGAAATTCCAACCCTCTCATTGTTCACGGTGCCAACCCACAAGCAATGCAAGTTCGGCAAAAGAAAGGAAAAAAAAGGATGAGGGAAAATGAAAGAGAAAAGAGAGAAGGAAGATGTGGGGAGCAGGGCAACAAACAAAAGGGAGAGAGGGGAATGTATAACCTCATTCTTTCTTCTCATGGCCACTTATGAATGCAGTTTTATAGAGTAATGATGGTCTCTTTTCTCTTACTTGTGCTGTTTACTAAAGCAAGCGTCACTATTACTACCACTCATACTTAAAGTTAGGGGTTTGTTCAAATCACTAGCCCCAAATATTCAATTCACCCTGCACCGTTTGTGCCGGAGACGTGAATTATAGCTCAAATCGATCAGAATTTATGACTTTGACTTGGCGGATGATAAAACGGATGATGAAATCCCATAGACTTACATTGAAGGAGTGACCTGAGCCATATCTAGGGACCAAAATTGTACATGCTGCATTAACTACAAGTCTTAATGCATCGATTCAAAGACTGACTGTTTACACATTAATTCCACAATGTGCAAATGACTTTAAAGTTGTGTGAAAAGCTCTCTGCTTCCCGGTTAACTCCTGACTATGTGACTATGAGGAAGGGTTAAAATTAGTGGATGACAGATAAATCACCAAGACCGATATTATCAGACAATATTGGTGATTTCATTGACCATTACGTTCTGTTAATTTGTATGAACAGGACTTTTATTTTGATGTGCATGTGAATTTTGTATTATCTGGTATTTGGCACTGTTTGTTTGAGTGTTTAATTTGATTTATTTGTGATTTTCATCCGTTTAATCAGAAAAATACTGTAATAGGGTTACAGAATCAAGAAGTTGCTGTCTGAAAGCAAAAATCTATTTTGCAGGTGTATTTTTTTATCAAGATTTTAATTTAAAAATCTAATTATTTTAGTAAATATTGTGTAAAATGAATATCAATTTAATCCTCATTCTTGTTTTATTTACTATCTTTAAAAAAAGAATAGTGCAACATCATATAGATCTATATCGGCTTTATATCAGCCATCTTTAACAAATATTGGCACTGGCCATCATAAATAAAAAAAATAAAAAAACTTTTTTTGAACTAGATTTGAAAGTAGCACAGAATAAAAAAAATGATTGCTAAAAGATCAAGTTGTAGTGTAATTTACAACAGCTTCGAACGCGGCTCAGCCAATCAGAATCAAGGACCGGAACTCTCCGTTTTATAATGATTAATTTGCGATGTCTTTATGAACTTTATGAAGCATCGAAGTTGTGGTTGAATAGACTTTCAGTGGAGGAACAAACATCTCTCAGGTTTTAATTTGTGTTTCGAAGCTGAATGATAGTCTTTATGAGTTTGGAACGACTTGAGGGTGAGTAAATGATGATAGAATTTTCATTTTTTGGGTGAACTATCCTTTTAAGTAAACAGTGTGAAAATTGGGCAAAACAACCTCAAAATAGTGACCTAGGATCAGTCTTGATGTGCATGCGCATGCGGCTGAAGTACATGCCGCTGTAGAGTGCCCCGTTTGTAATTTTAGGTTTAAATACAGTGCTCATGACATCTGTGGCCACTATGTTCCCTCAAAGCATACTTATGCCAAGCCCACATTGACACCTGCTCTAAAATAAACCACTGGCCGACAGCTCCCTTCTGGGACAGATCCGAGGTCAGAGAGCACTGATCCCAGCGCAGTCATATGGGCAGCACCCTGGCTGAAAATTTGGAGAAAATGTTGAAAACTTCACTCTGACAATCAAGCTCAGAGCAGGTCCATGTGGAATGATTGGAACAATATGTGCCATGAAGGATAAAAGAAATTCCAACCCTCTCATTGTTCACGGTGCCAAACCACAAGCAATGCAAGTTCGGCAAAAGAAAGGAAAAAAAAGGATGAGGGAAAATGAAAGAGAAAAGAGAGAAGGAAGATGTGGGGAGCAGGGCAACAAACAAAAGGGAGAGAGGGGAATGTATAACCTCATTCTTTCTTCTCATGGCCACTTATGAATGCAGTTTTATAGAGTAATGATGGTCTCTTTTCTCTTACTTGTGCTGTTTACTAAAGCAAGCGTCACTATTACTACCACTCATACTTAAAGTTAGGGGTTTGTTCAAATCACTAGCCCCAAATATTCAATTCACCCTGCACCGTTTGTGCCGGAGACGTGAATTATAGCTCAAATCGATCAGAATTTATGACTTTGACTTGGCGGATGATAAAACGGATGATGAAATCCCATAGACTTACATTGAAGGAGTGACCTGAGCCATATCTAGGGACCAAAATTGTACATGCTGCATTAACTACAAGTCTTAATGCATCGATTCAAAGACTGACTGTTTACACATTAATTCCACAATGTGCAAATGACTTTAAAGTTGTGTGAAAAGCTCTCTGCTTCCCGGTTAACTCCTGACTATGTGACTATGAGGAAGGGTTAAAATTAGTGGATGACAGATAAATCACCAAGACCGATATTATCAGACAATATTGGTGATTTCATTGACCATTACGTTCTGTTAATTTGTATGAACAGGACTTTTATTTTGATGTGCATGTGAATTTTGTATTATCTGGTATTTGGCACTGTTTGTTTGAGTGTTTAATTTGATTTATTTGTGATTTTCATCCGTTTAATCAGAAAAATACTGTAATAGGGTTACAGAATCAAGAAGTTGCTGTCTGAAAGCAAAAATCTATTTTGCAGGTGTATTTTTTTATCAAGATTTTAATTTAAAAATCTAATTATTTTAGTAAATATTGTGTAAAATGAATATCAATTTAATCCTCATTCTTGTTTTATTTACTATCTTTAAAAAAAGAATAGTGCAACATCATATAGATCTATATCGGCTTTATATCAGCCATCTTTAACAAATATTGGCACTGGCCATCATAAATAAAAAAAAATAAAAAAACTTTTTTTGAACTAGATTTGAAAGTAGCACAGAATAAAAAAAATGATTGCTAAAAGATCAAGTATGTGCAAAAAGATCTGTTTTGTGCCAGTGTGAAAAAAGCATGCAAATGTAGCTATAGACTATGCAAGATCGCATAACTACCCAAAACAACTTAGAAACCATGTAAAATTGTACTAGCAGCCAATCAGAACACTGCCTTGAAACACCATTGCAACTACTACCGTTAGAAAGTTTGGAGTCTGTAAGATTTTTTAAGGAATTAATACTCGTATTCATCAAGGATGCATTAAATTGATCAAAAATTAAAACAAAACTTTTATAAAGAGTTCTATTTCAAATAAATGTTGTTCTTTTGAACTTTCTATTCAAAGTCTATATCAAAGAGTCCTAAAAATAAAATGCATCATGGTTTCCACAAAAATATGAAGCAGCACAACTGTTTTCCAGATTGATGATCATAATAAATGTTTCTTGAGCAGCAAATCAGCATATCAGAATGATTTCTGAAGGATCATGTGACACTGAAGACTGGAGTAATGATGCTGAAAATTCAGCTTTGATCACAGAAATAAATTACATTTAACAATATATTCACATAGAAAACAGTTACTTTAAATGGTAATAATATTTCGCAATATTACAGTTTTTTCCGTATTTTTGATCAAATAAATGCAGCCTTGGTGAGCAGAAGAGATTTCTTTCAATCTCATTGACCCAAAAACTTGAATGGTAGTGTATTAGAATTGTGTGCAGGTTTTGCACAGACAAGAAAAATTATAACATTTTAGGCATTTTTTCTCCAGTATGGTAATATGCATAATCAGCAAGCCGGTGTAGTGATGAGAGGCAATATGGAGACCACACACAAAGAATCTTTAAACATACCATTAGTTTGACACATAACATGAAATCTATTTATAGTGTCGGTCACTCCAGCCTCTTTCTTTTAGTGTGTATTCTTGAAATGTAGTTTATGTTCTGTAATTCGTAACACACACTTCATCTTGTGGATGCTTACAACAAAAATAAGCATCTAAATACTTTTGCATGCATGAGTGATCTTTATACAAATATGGTTGGATAAACATGTTTCGTCATAATTCTCCAGCGTTACCATCTGTTTGAAAGCATACAGCTGGTTATTAATTCATTTGAATAGGATTACGCTCAGTTTACTGATTGTGGATTAAAAATGAGATGGTTAAAATATGAGTTCAGATTCCACCCCGTCTTATTGTCTGCGGTTGTTGTTGATGAGCACATCTCTATTGCATCAGTTTGCCGTAAGTGCCTCTCGTGCATTGTGCAGCCGTGCCCTTCAGTTGAACCGCTGTTTGCGGCTTTGCAGATTTATGAACGTTGATCACGGCTGTCATAATGATAAATGTGCTAGTGTACGCCAAGACAATTCAGCTACATCATTTTATTCTGGCAGAATGGGTGACTGACAGAGATTGTTTGTCATGTACGCGGCGCTGAGGGATTACGAGAGCCAGGGCTTGGGTGGAGGTGCCTACTCGCAGCAAAAAACTGTGAAACATTCGCAAAATCAAGTGTTAACTTGGGTTTAACTGCACATAAATCACTCAGCAAGATAGTAGTTACACCTACGTGTAAGTGGAGTAAGTGACGCAAAATCTGCAAAGGGGTACTTAAATGTAACAAATAATGTAAAAATGGATAATCTTTTATTGAAATTGTTTTTAAAAAATGCCTTGTTTTAAACAACTGAGAAGTTGAGAGAAGTAAAAATCACCTCAATTTCAGCGAGTGAAGAATATACTCGAGTGTATTATGTATTAGGTGCGTTATCGTCAGCATGTTGAAGCCGCTCAGGCCGCTATTTTCTCCTTCTCTGTAAGCGTGGGTTTTCTGAGAAATGCATATACTCATTTAGACCTCTGTTACTCATAAATGTGACCCTGGACCACAAAACCAGTCATAAGGGTCAATTTTTCGAAATTGAGATGTATACATCATCTGCTGAATAAATACGCTTTCCATTGATGTATGGTTTGTTATGATAGGACAATATTTGGCCGAGATACAACTATTTGAAAATCTGGAATCTGAGGGTGCAAAAAAATCAAAATATTGAGAAAATCGCCTTTAAAGTTGTCCAAATGAAGATCTTAGCAACGCATATTACTAATCAAAAATTACGTTTTGATATATTTACGGTAGGAAATTTACAAAATATCTTCATGGAACATGATCTTTACTTAATATCCTAATGATTTTTGGCATAAAAGAAAAATGTATTATTTTGACCCATGCAATGTATTTTTGGCTATTGCTACAAATATACCCCAGCGACTTAAGACTGCTTTTGTGCTCCAGGGTCACAAATATTACTGTATACTGTGCATGTAATTTTTGACAGACATTGATGTTATGATTCAAATAATGTGGATTTGAAACCAGATGGATCGTAAGGCAATAATTATTTATTTCTTAGCTGACAAGTATACAGTGAAGCGACGGATGCCCATGAGTACTTCTAATATTCCAGCCGACAGCCAGACTTTTTATGGACGTGATAACGTGTGAGGGGTGAACTGTGTTTGATTTTGGGCTATTATAAAATGTGTTTTATAAAATGCTCATTATACTTGAGGTTTATTTTGTGGCTTAAATAAATTGCACGTTACCCAGAGACTGAGATGTTTGACTTGTCAAAAATCTGACTTTTGAAAATCAAGTTCATTATTTTTTTTTTTTATGGTTTTAATGCACAAAGTTGTTTTTATCGTCTTTTATAACACACACGTTGGCAGTACTTTATATTACAGTCCTGTTCCGCTATGTACTTATTATAATAACTGGGTAATAACTAAGTACTAACCCTAAACCTAACCTTAACCAATGTAGTTACCGGTAACACTTTATTTTAAGGACCAGTTCTCACTATGAACTGGTTGCTTATTAGCATGCATATTGGCTGTTTATTAGTACTTATAAAGCGCATATTAATGAGTTAATCTGCTTGATCATATTTTAGATCCCTTAATCTCTACCCCATACGTAAACTTAACTACCTTACTATTAATAACAACAAATTAGGAGTTTATTGAGGCAGAAGTCATAGTTAATAGTTATTTAATAGTGAGAGTAGGTCCTTCAAATAAAGTGTGACCTAGTTACCTTGTACTACGCAGTGCTTTCTTGGGTAAGTACACTTTTAGTACACTGTAAGTACGCATACTGTAAAACAAAGTGTAACCAAAATCCTTTATTTAAATGCAGATCGTGTCGTTTTTAAAACTGTTGCTCCATTATTACCCCTTAGCAGATTTGAACTCCTATAAAGAAATCAACCGATTTTTAGGCTTCACCTGCGCTGTTTGCTGAGCATGCTTGTATTTCGACAGGTGGACAACGACACCATCTGGAACGAGATGCACACGTCCACAGCGTCCCGCTTGGCGGCCGGGAGCGTGACTGAGCTGGCCTTCAGAGTGGCTAAAGGAGAGCTCAAGGTCTGTACAAAACAATATCCAACACTTACTCTGATTTTATGCAGTTGATTTTTTTAGGTCAACTGCTGCTTCTTAGATGAAATAAGTACAGAATAACTAACAATGAACATTGTATTATTGACAATAAATGCATTCATTTTCATTAATTCAATGGCCACATGTACATGGGTCAAAGACGAAAAAGGTTTTAAGCATAAAAACTACAACAAATAAATTGCTGTTTTTCCAAAAAAAAAAGAAAGTTTTCTTTTTAATGTAATTGTATTTTTGTTTTTGTTTTTCTGAGCAAAAAATAAATATCATACATTTTCCCCTGATTTACAGAAGACACCCACTAAAATGTCATTCAGTGTAATAATCTTGTCAGGCATATTTACAACAAAAAAATTATTTATGACATATTAAAAAACTAATTACTTTTACCCCAAATACTAATTAGTTGTTATTTTATATTTTTTTAAATTTGCCACTATCCTAGGTTTTGCCCATTTGTCAATAATAATTTTTTACTCATTTAAAACCCAATAAAATGTAATATGCTCCCTTATTCTTTTATATATTTTAATATGTGTAGGTCAGAATAAGCATGTTGTTTGAATTTTTACATAACTATAAGTGTTACACTGAATGACAATGGAACATTATTTCAACCAAATTTTGACATTTTGTTCTTCAAAACCGTATTTGAACCCTTAAATGTAGACCAGGGGTGCCCAAACTCGGTCCTGGAGGGCCGGTGTCCTGCAGAGTTTAGCTCTAACCTCAATTAAACACACCTGAACCAGCTAATCAAGCTCTTATAGGCATACTAGAAACTTACCAGCAGGTGTTGAGGCAAGTTGGAGCTAAACTCTGCAGGACACCGGCCCTCCAGGACCGAGTTTGGGCACCCCTGATGTAGACACTTTACTTGCATTTAATGTGCTTTCTATGGACATAAAATCACTTTTGTAAATTTCTTTTGATGAGGACATCTTAACGTCTTTGACCCACATACACTCTTGTATCTTAGGGCAGCAGCTTGTCACTGTGGCAGTACCATCAACGACACATTTTTTGTTCCTTATTTACCCCTAAAAAGTTCATAGTAGTATCTTAAGGGTATATATCACTACTCTAAGGTTCTAATATGTACATGTTATGGGGTAGATATGGTACAAAGCTCTCCTTTTAAGTGTACTGCCCAGTATTGTTCAGGTGTGTAACAACTTCCTCACACCACTGGTTTAAGCATCTTTCTTAGAAACAGCCCATTGTAATGTTACTAAGTTTGAAACACAACCTAGAACTGAAACGAACCTGGAACTGTGCAGCTGTGCACAGTGTTAGCTCGCGAAGCTACAAATAACCTAGAATTTAGAAGAGTTCAACTAGACCGTTTTTTAACAAAAGTAGTTAGCTTTGAAGTTACATTACCATTTATAATATTTTTAGAACATTATATACTATTATATAGTCTTCAGTGCCACATGATCTTCAGAAATCATTCTAATATGCTGATTTGCTGCTTAAGAAATATTTCTGATTATTATCATTGATGAAAACAGTTGTGCTGCTTCATATTTTGTGGAAATTCTTTGATGAATAGACATTTCAGAAATTTTAGTTGAAATAGAATTTTATAACATTATAAATGTCTTTATTGTCACTTTTGATCAATTTAATGCATCCTTGCTGAATAAAAATCTTACTGAGCCCAAACATTTGATCGGTAGTATACAAAACGAACTATTTTGAAGTTGTTTATCTGCATAATTATCAAATTACACCATTAAATGCTTAAAGTAGTGAAATTATCTTGAAAGAAACATCTAAAAAGCATCAGTACAAATGTCAGTAGCCTAAATATTTCAGTGTGAGAGTCGAAATGCAACACTGAATCGTTTATGTGACCAGTGAAAACATGTAAGCAAACCGATTGACTGAAATGATTCAGATTTAGTAAGTATGAGGACAGAGTGTCTTTGATTTGTAAAGCTGCATGAGAAATGCAGAGCGATAAATACAATGATTTAGTGTTTTGTCACGCTACACTGCAACTTGTTGGAAAAAGTAGCTTGTTGTATTTTGATTCTCTACTTTGAATAAAACTGATCTACTGTCATGCTACTGAAAAATGCAGTCAGTAGCATCACCAGCTACGCACCAATACTAGCTGTGCAGTTCTAGAACATTCAATATTATGCGTGTTCACGTTGCATTGAAATCACCATAATTACAAGATGACAACTCTGAGATAATCACTTCCTTGGACACAGAACCTAAAGCTCCACGTTGAAATGCTTCACATTAATTTAGGTAACACTTTATTTTAAGGTGTCCTTGTTACACATGTTACATGTACTTACTATTATAATAACAATTAATTATGCATAATTACATGCAAGTAACCCTAAGCCAAACCCTAACCATATAGTAAGTACATGTAGTTAAGTAATATTACTCGGTACTTAAGTGTATAATTACACTGTAACAAGGACACCTTAAAATAAATTGTAACCTTAATTTACATCTCACAAAGCATCGAAGAAAAAAATCACACCAAGTACCACTGGCTATAATAAAATATCATATCAAACAGAAATATGTCTAGCATTTTGGTAAAAGAGTACGTGAAATGAATCTTCTGTAACTTCTATTTACTGTAATTCTGACGTAATATGAAATGCATCTTCAGTCAAAACTCTTGGATCACGTGTCAACCAATCAGAATCAAGCACTCATTTCCTTCAGAGGGTCTTTTGTAATTACCGTTGCATCAAATAAAAATTAACCAAGCAGCAAACCGACCAGATCAAGCTGATTAAAAAACTGTAACGATCATAAAAGATTAGTTCAATCACTCAAGTCCCCTGCTGGTAATTAACCTTAATGAAGGTTATAGGGGATGTTTCAGGGAAGTGGCTTTATTGCTTTAACTGAAAGCGGAGGCCCGCTTGCTGAAGCAGTTTGGTGAAAACATGGTTTCTGTGTGAGAGGCGACTGGTAAATGCGGAGTTAATGGCATGTTGGTTTCAATGTTTCAGAACGGCTTTGCTGTGGTTAGGCCACCAGGACATCATGCAGACCCGTCAAACCCCATGTAAGTCTGCCTGTTACATACAGAAGCGCCTCTGTGCATCGCTTGAGTTTCTTTAAGAATGTGTGTCTGGTGGTGGGCGCAGGTTCGAGCCTGGCCTGCGTCATGTTTCTATCGATTTTTGCCTCGCTCTCTTGATCTCTCTTGCCGCATATCTGCTTTCCACTGTCTTACTATAAAAGTTCTTCAAATAAAAGAAATGCATACAGATAAATTTAAATAAGTAAAATAGATTATATTAAAATAAAATAAACAATAATAACAATAGTGGGTGTTTGTTGATATAGATTGTTATTTTAGAGATACATTATTTTATTTAATTATGAGATATTATAGTTTTTGTTAATATTTTGAATTTTATTTTATTTTTATATTTTCTGCCTTAATTTTAGTTCGTTTTAGAAATGTTGTTTTTACAATAAGGTTCCATTTGTTAACATTAGTTAACATAAACTAACAATAAATAATACTTCTAAAGCATTTATTAATCTTAGTGAACGTTTATCATTTACAGAACAAACTGTAAATTTTACAGTATAAAACTGTAATTTGCAAACAAGAAATTGTGAGTGTAAACTAGTAAATTCAACAATGCACACTGCTACTAAAATCTGTTTTGTACAGAATATAAACTGACAACCGCCATAATAATGCAGGTGGTAAAAGAGACAGCAATATGAAGCAATATGAAGAATCAGTTTATATGTTGATTTGTTCTTTGATTTTTATTAACTAATGTTAACAAAGATTAATAAATACTGTAACAAATGGATCGCTCATTGTTAATGTTAGTTAATGCATTAAATATAGTTAACCAATGGTACTTTATTGTAAAGTATTACCATTTTTTAAATATGTCTATATATTTTATATTTTAGTACAAGTTAAACTATTTTTTTGTAAACTAAGTTTTTTATATTTTATTTCAGTTAACATTCTATTTTAAGTAAAAAAAAAAGTTTTATTTATTTTTTGTTATTATATAATTTTTTTAATTGTTTTAGTTAGCTACAATGACCCTGTATAGAGTATGTTGTCCATGTGAGTTTGGATCTGTTTATTGTGGTCATGAAGTGAGATTCTTCTTCCTGTGCATGTGAGTGATTTTGAGCGGTGTGTTTGTGTGACGTGGGTGTTTGCACATGTGCACTCTGTCACCTCGCGTTCAGTGTGTGCGTGCGTGTGTGTGCGTGTGTGCGTGTGTGTGTGTGGATATTTATGGCTTGATAATGAAGGTTTGGAGGGAGAGGGAGGAAAGACGCTGATTTATTTCAGCAGTTATTAACCTGCTGAGTTCGCTCTTCCCAAATTTCTCAGCGTTTCACCTCGCTCCCTTACTTCCCAGTGCACATCTAAGCATCTGCTGGTAGTTTCCACATGTTTATTATTTGTGTATATGGACAATATTTAAGTGCTTTTAGATTACCTCAACACATTATAGTTAAAAATCATGTTTCAGTAACAGCAGACCTGGGTTCAGTTGCGTGAGAAAATTTGTTTGCTTACAACATAGTTGTGTTGTTCTGTTTCCAAATCCTTTGGCATTTAATGTGGTTGGAGGCCTCACTTTATCTCTTTCTCTCTCTCAGGGGTTTTTGTTTCTTCAACTCGGTGGCGATCGCTGCTAAGCAGCTCCAGCAGAAGCTCAGCGCCAGTAAAATCCTCATCGTTGATTGGGTGAGAGCTCTTAATTCAGCCAATGTTAGTTCTAGGGATGCGAATTCTGGCTGAAACCAATAAGCACGTAATTAGTTTGATGTTATGGCCAATAAATGATATGAGGGCTGATATTGGAAATCCATTCTATTATGTCTGTTCCCTGTTATACAAATTAAAACAATAAAACTGCTATCAAGAGTTTATTAGTAAATTCAGGCATCACAACAGCGTAATGTACAGTGACAATTGAAAACAGTTTATTTCAATTAAATATCCAGTATACAGTATATCTGTTAAAAAATAACTACTATCGATATATTATCAATATAAATATATATATATAGTTTATATGTTGATTTGTTCTTTGTTACTTCTAAAAATTGTACAATTAACAGCATTTTACTGTAAAATTACATGAAATGTCTGGTTAGATATTTTACAGTTTTTCCCCTGTATATATTATAGGAACTTACTGTTAACCATACCGTCTTTACAATATTTGACAGTTAAAATTACACTCATTTTTTTACAGTGTAGATGATTTCTGCAAAAATTCTAGTTATTCTGGGATATTTGTGTGAAGCTTGTTTCAACATATTGTAAAACAATGACTCGATTTGAACTGATTTGAATCTGAGTTACCAAACTGTATTGGATAACAAGCTAAATTGATTGAGTTTATCAGTCATTGAATCAAATCACCTCCAGATTTTGGTATTTTTTCATCCTAATAGACCAGAAACAAAGGTAATGCTAATGTTGACTGAACAACAACCAAAATGCGACCATTAAACATCTTCGTGTTAGCTTAGTGGTCCTTTATGCACTGAATGCAAATGATAATGTAACCTGATTATGTTTCATCAATCATTCAGGATGTTCATCATGGCAACGGCACCCAGGAAATCTTCTACAATGACCCCAGCGTCCTCTACATCTCTCTCCATCGCTATGATAATGGGAACTTCTTCCCCGGGAGTGGTGGACCGGCAGAGGTTAGTACGCAGAGGTTATCGATTATACCATAGCAAACACATCACTCTTTGGTTTGTTTATTGCTGTGAAACACTATAAGCTCACAGAAGCCTCTTATGGCACTTTTCCACTGCGTGGTACGACTCGGCTCGGTACGGCTCAGTACGGTACGGCACGGCTCGGTTCGGCTCGGTTTGCGTTTCCACTGCAGTTTAGTATCGCTTTAGAGTGGGCGGGATTATTCACATGTCGTTATAGTTGCGCCGCCTCTACTACCACGACTCCTAAAAAAAACGTTTTCATTCCGCGTCGCCCCATCAAGCTCTCGCTGGATCCGCTCCTCTGCTATCAACGAGAGCAACGTCTGTACTTCCTCAACAGGGGGAACAGCCACTTTTTGGTTGTTAAAAAAAGGTGCGCTCGTTCAAAACAGTTGCGTTCGATCCTTCGCTGGCTGTGCTGATTTAAATCTAGCGGTTCTTTTGTGTTTGTGTCGCAAGTTCAGTGACGCAGGTAGTGACGATTCTCTCCGGCCAATCCGTGATCAGCAGAGTTTACACGTCACGTTTTGGTAACGGTACGGTTCACTTGGAACCCCAACCGAAGTGGTACTAAAAAAAGTACCAGGTACTGTACCCAGTGGAAAACCCCCCAAAAGTGAACCGTACCGTGCCGTACCATGCAGTGGAAAAGTGCCATTAGACTCAAGGGGTTTCAATGTGTCACACTTGCGCAACTGTGTTTCAAACCAGAACTAGTTGCATCATGGCCTTTAGCACAAAAAGATCACAGTGAGTGGAGGGTTTTCAGTGTTTAACAGCAGTGCCGTGTTTGATTTGTCGCAGGTGGGTTCTGGTGCCGGTGAGGGTTTCAACGTTAATGTGGCGTGGACCGGTGGTCTGGAACCTCCCATGGGCGATGCTGAGTACCTGGCTGCCTTCAGGTATTAGTTTCACTTGGTTCATTTGCTGATTTAAACTAACTCAGGGGAACACTTGAATATGGACAGCATTGCATGGAAACAAGGGGTGTTCAATCCTGCTCCTGCAGGGGCAAGATAGCTCCAACCAGCTCCTGCACAATTGTCTGAAGGTTTCTGAAGACCTTGAGTAGTGTGTTTAATTAGGGCTAGAGCTAAACTCTACAGGACAGTGACCCTCCAGGAGCAGGACTGGACACCCTTGTTATTAATATATGGATCCATTTTCACATAAATAAACGTATTTGGTCTCATAAAAAGTGAAGACATTGGAAGATACCATGATTATTTAATGCGATGAATTTGCTGACTGAAGGGTTTGGGTTAGGTCCAGTAATAACATACAAGTCTGTGATGCACCAAAATTTCGGCAACCAAAAATATTCAGCCAACTGCAAAAAAAATTAATTTTTGGTTTCAGTAGTAATAGCTTTTTGGAGGGCCGAAACCATTGACCCAAATTGTACCGTTTAATGAGCATGTTTTGACAGTGTCAGCATTTGTTTTATGCACAAAACATGGATATGCTACAAGAAGTAAACATGTCAGCAGTGTGGACACACTTCACCATGACCAAAACTGATGTTAGAGTAGCAATATGTAACATTTTCTTTGGCTGAAATATCGCTTGTTGCCGAAGAACTTTACTATAACAGGAGCCAGTTGCATAAACATAGCTGCCATGTTAAGACTATGCCTTAAAGGGATAGTTCACCCAAAAATTAAAATTACCCCATGATTTACTCACCCTCAAGCCATCCTGGGTGTTTATGACTTTCTCCTTTCAGACGAATACAGTCGGAGTTAAATTAAAAAATGTCCTGGCTCTTCCAAGCTTTATAATGGCAGTGAATGGGTGTTGAGATTTTGAAGCGCAATAAAGTGCATCCATCCCTCATAAAAGTGCTCCACACGGCTCTGGGGGGTTAATAAAGGCCTTCTGAAGTGAATCGATGCATTTTTGTAAGAAAAATATCCATATTTAAAACTTTCTAACTGTTGTACGTGTGTTCACGAGAGAGTGGCGTTCCGGCGGATGACGTAGACGTAAGTAGCAGACGACAAAACTACAGCACATGCTTAAAATAAACAGAACGTTATCGTGCCTTGGTCTGGACGCTAATATAATGTTAGTTATCTTTATAGTTATCAATCTTGGTATGAACAGGCCTTAACTATGACAAATCAAACCGGTTGCATGAACTGTTTAGACTAATCACCTGAGGAAACAACTCCCTGAACATCATACCAAGATTAATTACCTAGTTACTCAAATTTTATTACCCAAACTTCAATTTCAGCTTCAGTTTCGGATTTTGGCTAAATGAAAACGTTAATTTTGGTGTCAGTGTTTCTAATAAAACATTCTGCATATCCGTTATGGTCTTGTTAGTTTCCACACCTCATTTCGCAGACTAATCATTTAGCATTGATCCTTATGGTCTGTGGTGTGCTAGTATTTCGTGCATGTAACGATAACTGAAAACGCTGTCTTTTGAGTAAGCTGTTAAGTGTTAAGAGCACAATGATGTTGGCGAACCAACGCCTCTTCTATTCAAGGATTGTCCGTGGTCCAGATGTTTAACCACAACCCCACCACCGTCCACTTTATATGTCTTGTAACGTCTTTACATTGGATGATCATCATCAGGTCAGCGTTCAGGAAGAAGCGTTTGACCTTCCGTCATCAGTTTCGCCAAAGAACCAGGTCCTCTTCATATGGGCGTTCTTCATGATTGCATTAGTTTCTCTCCTTTGTTCTTGTGCACTAGTATTTGCACTGAGACCTTTGGGATTTTGTCAAGAATTAGACGCCCGATCATATTGTGATCACTGTTTTAAGTTGGACTTCCCCCTCTGTCGTCTGCCAACCTGCATCAGTCAAGGTGTTTATTGTAGTCTGAAACGCTTGCAGGGCTTCAAATGATTCCCAGCTTTTTCATTGTGTTGGGATCAAACTCAAGCTTGGCCACTTCCACATGCCACTTAATTGCCGCCGGTGGGTGGTTTTATTAAAAGTTTTTAGCATTTTTGAAGGCAGCCTGCTTCGGGTTTTTGGTTTCGGTCCAGGGAGGCACTGCTAACCACATGCTAACCAGGATCCCTGTGTGAAAGTGGGTGGGCGTCTAAAAAGACCTTTAAGATCTCTCAGGACTGAACGTTTTGGGAATGTTCTGCCTCTAACCAGCCTGTCTCTCCTTGACTTCCTATGTCTTGTACACTCTTTCTCGTCCATTTATTGGTCTTTAATGAATGATGCACTCTCTCTCTCTTTACCTCCACCCAAACTAAAACTGTTCCTCTCCACACAGGGGAGCGTGGGTAGTTTTATTGGTCTAGAGGGGAGGTGGAGTTGGTTACAACGGTGAGGGTAGGCGGAGAGGTGGGGGGAGAAGTGGAGGATCCTGGGTAATTAAGGCAAATGGCTCCCAGATGGCGGGCTGTCAGTGACGTGAGGAGAACGACAAGCTCCGAATGGGAACCAGATGCAGCGGCGGTCGCTTTGAACTCGCCGGTGATGCGCTCAAGAGGCGAAATCACTGGCAGGGCTGGCGTCCTCCGAGCGCAAGAAAGAGGGAGACGAGGAAAAAGAGGAAGGAAGAGAGAGCGAGAGACGGTTATTAACAGAACCTAATTCAAACACTTCAGTCACTGGGATTGTCTCGCTGTACTTCGGCCAGCTCCATTTTTGTAGAATTTATCAACTATAACAGGAACGCCACTTCACGTATTTCTTCATTTGAGTTTCCTGGGCAAGTTTCTGACATTTCCGTAAAGGCTTTGATCTGAACTGATGTTAAACTGACAAATACATCCCTAAAAAGAATGAATCTGAAACTATTGAACAGCAATTTGACTAAATCTTCTTTAATTAAAGATCAATTGTTTAATCTGAGTGTGATTAATAGTAAATGTAACTGTTGATTAAAAGAATGTTTATATAGCCAGCATTCATTAAAAAAAATAAATAATTGTGTCATAAAAATGTTTGTGTCATGCCTCAGCAGACCCCTTAAATGAATAGTTCATGGAAAAAATTTAAATTAATGTGCTGTTCCCCATGACTTTATTTCGTGGAACAAAAAAAAAGAGATGTTTTAAAGAATCTAGTTGGTTGCTTTTTCATGTAATTACACTGAATTTTCAAGCTTCAAAAAAGATCCAAAAGCATCTTAAAAGTATCGTAAATGTGACTCATGCGCTATATTACAACTCTTCTGAAGCCAGAAATGGACTGAAATTAAATTTGCTGTTCACTGACAATCTTGACATCTGCTCCGGCTTTGGTTGGCGAGTTCAAGAGAGAAGTAAGAACGAATCATTCTTTTGAGTTGGATCTTTTCAATTAATCGGTTGATCCAGGTTCATAACAGCAGTCTGAATGATATGATTCATTTTTCGAGTTCAACTCACTAGTGATGTAGGTGCAGTGGTTAACAGGCGAAGATTATCCCTTATTTCATGGAAGGAAGGTCATTTGGGTTTGGAATGACATGAGTATGAGTAAATGATAGCTATTAGCTATGCCTCTCTAGGCTTAAGGTTTCAAATTGTGCATAAAGATTTGGAAAGGAATGTGCAGTCTTACCTGTAAGTGCAGCTATCACAGATATAATATTAACCGAATGTTGTCTATGCATTGTTCTGATGTTTAGGATGGTGGTGATGCCCATTGCTCAGGAGTTTTCCCCGGACGTCGTGTTGGTTTCTTCAGGGTTTGACGCCGCAGAAGGACACCCTGCACCTTTAGGAGGATACAGAGTCACTGCTAAATGTAGGATATTTCTGTTGATAATGTCCTTGAAGTATTATCTTGAAACTGAAATATGAATACTTTTAAAATGAAATTCATTTCTATAAATTGCATTGTCTCAGAAAATGTTTGTGTTTCTGTACTGGGACAGTAATGTTGTCATTGGTCTCTGCAGGTTTCGGGTTTTTGACTCGGCAGTTGATGGCGTTAGCAGGAGGACGCGTGGTTCTAGCATTAGAGGGAGGTCACGACCTCACAGCCATATGTGATGCTTCTGAGGCTTGTGTCAGCGCTCTGCTGGGACTGGAGGTCAGATTTCATGCAGAAGCTGTCCAAATACCATCACAAGTATTCATTTATTACACCTTTATAATCCTGTTATACCATTGCCGTTAACAAATAGTGAGCACTCTCTCGTTATGTTAACATGACTTTTCTGGCAAAGTCTTGCATGACGTGCTCTTTGTCCTAAAGGAAAAACAAAAACACCCTTTTTCATCTCGTTTTCTCTTAGGAGCCTCTTCCTGAGTCGACTCTCCTCCAGACGCCCAATGCCAACGGAGTGCTTTCACTCCAGAGAGTGCTACAAATACAGAGTGAGTGTCTCGCGCTCCTCTCGTCCCAGTCTGCCTCTAATTATCCTGAAATGCACTGGCTTCCTGGTAGCACACATTTGTTTAATTCTTTGTCATTAATTATAATCATGATCATCGTTGTTGCACCACATGGTTCCTGCTCTGCCAAAATATTCCTATAAAAACTACCTCTCTCATGCCGTTTCTGTGCTATTGCCATTATCTGCCTGCATCTCTGTAGTTTTCAACCATCTGTCATCAAGACTCGTCACTCACATTTTCAGAGCTGTATGACTTTGTCTTCGGTTGAACCCAAA